AGAGGATCATCAATCAGCTGCCTCCTGCATGCCTCCCACTGGGGATGGAGCCCGCAACCCCGGCAGTAACCCAGGCATATGCCCTGACCGGGAATTGAACCCTGACCTCCTGGTTCATAGGTCGACGCTAAAACCACTGAGCCACATGCCCGGGCACCTGCCCCGTTTCTTAAGGAATCAGAACAGAAGGTGTAAAGCTCAGGCGTCGAGCCCCATGAGGTCCGAGCCCTGTCGTCTCCGGCTCGAGTAGCCACGGGCGCATCGGCCTGTACACTTTCAAGCTATTCTGATTCTTCCTCTCAAGGACTTTCGTCCGGAATCATTTGTGAACTTGTACTCACTCCTCTTGCCTTTCCACTTCCATTTCCCGTTGAAATAACGGCACGTGATGAGGAGGTGATGCCCGCACCTCGGAACTGGACCTCGGGGTGTGGGCCTAGCGAGGTGTATTGTTAGCACGACCCCCACTGCGTCTGGTCCCCTGAGGTGTGAGAATGGAAGCTTCGGGGGCTGAGCTTGACCCTGAACGTGACCTCCCACTCCTCACGTCCTGGCTCTGCCCTGGCAGCAGGCGGCAGCGGGACCTGTGTTCAGGGAGTGGCTTGTCCCCATCGGCTGGGAAGTCCGGCCACACCTCCCTTCCGATTCCTTCCTGCCCTGAAGTTCCCTTCAAGGTTGTGCTGGGAAGAGGCCTGTGCTGGCCCGGCCGGCGTGGCTCAGTAGTTGAGCGTGGACCTATGAACCAGGAGGTCAGGGTTAGATTCCTGGTCAGGGCACAGGCCCGGGTTGCGGGCTCCATCCCCAGTGAGGGGCGTGCAGAAGGCAGCCGATCAGTGATTCTCTCTCCTCATTGATGTTTCCATCTCTCTCCCTCTCCCTTCCTCTCTGAAATCAATAAAAATATATATATTTAAAAAAAGAGGGCTGTGCCCGCCCTCCCCCCCGGGAGGAGTGAGAAGACACCCAGGTGAGTCAGTGGCTGCAGAGCCAGCTGCAGGTGGCGTCTGGCTCTGACTAACTTACTGGCCTGGGTCCCAGGGGGGGACTTTGTATGGGGAGCAGCTGCTTCAGAAGACAGGGCCCACCAGAAGCGGGTGGGGGAGGGGGAGCCAGGCTGGGGGGCTCCCCCAGGACCCTGTAACTCCAGGCAGAGGGGACCCAGGCTTCCCTTCCCGCCGCCTGCGCCTGCATCTGGGCCGAGCCGTGGGCTCCTGGGAGCTGGTGACCTCAGCGGGAAGGCAGCCGGGGGCTGTGGTGAGAGCCTGTGGGGTCTTCGCTGCGTCTCCGTGGGGTGGGGGTCCCGGGAGGACGGACACAGAGCACACGCCCTGCCCAGGTTCTGGGGGTTCTCACACGCCCACGGTGGCTGACCGCACAGCTCACTGTCCTCCGTGCCTGCTGGTGTTGGCGGGGCCCTGACGCCCCAGGCACTTGCTCAAGGCCCGGCCCCTGCCTGTCCCCAGAGGGTCACCCCGCCCCCCACCACCCAGCACTGAGCCCCGTGGGGGGCGCTGCGCACAGTGAGGGCCGGATCGTGGGCTCCTTCCTGCAGGTCGGGTGTCTCCTGCCCTGGCTCTGCGAGGCCGATCTCCCTCGGGATTTGCAACCCTACCTGCACGTTGGAATCAGGTCGGGGATGTGTTATTCTTAACCAGCAATCCCTTGACCCCGCTGGGCCTCCGGGGCCTGGAGGTGGGGCCTGGAACCGGCTTTTGAAACACTCAGCCCTAGGTTTCTGATGCACAGACCAGGCTGGAATCTACTGTAGCTCCCCCACCCTCACCCTCACCGTCTCATCTGATCAGGACCCCTGACACCCGTGTCGCCCCCGTCGGGTCCCACTGTCACCGCCCCTGCCCAGCAGCGTCTCCTCGCAGGTGAACACGCTTGCGCTTCTCCCTGGATGGCTGGTCCTCGCCACATCCTGGAATCCACTCCTCATTCTCGCCTCTGACCCCTGACATCCGCTCCCGTCCGTCATTCCTTCTCTCAGACTGGCCGCTGGGCCGCGGCAGGTCCCTCCCCTCTCTGCAGCAGGGGGCCCCCGCACCTTCTCCTCTCCCGCACCTGACGCCTCCCTCAGCGCCCTGACTGGCCCCTCGTCCCCTTTGTACTCCCTTTATGCGCTTGCCTAAGAGCCCAGTGTCCCTCAGCATCTTCCCTTGCATTCCTGCCCTCCTGGGGTGACCTCATTCACTTCGGTCCCCACCCCCGTCCCCAGCGGCTCTCCCCAGCGGGTGGACACACCTCTCTGCTTTCCCGCCTGGTTGAGGGCTGCACCTCACCCTGCGCCCTGGCCCCGCCTTCCCCGTCTCACAGCTGGCCGCTGACCCTGGGGACACGGCCTCCCCTTCCTCCGGGGGTCCTTCCCACGGTCTCCCCCACTGCCCTTCCCACGGGATTTCTGCTGCGTCCCTCCTCCCAGCCTTCTTCCTCACCCCTCCCAACATCCTCCCCTTGGGGCCACAGCCCTGGGGGCCACAGCCCTTGGGGTCCATAGCCCTTGGAGACCACAGCCCTTTGGACCATAGCCCTTGGGGGCCACAGCCCTTGGGGGCCGGTTCTGAAACAGCCCTGGCTGCATCCTTCCCTGTGGAAACCCTTCCCAGGGCTGCCAGCTGCCTGGCGAGGAAGCCTGTTGCGTGGGTCCCACGCCCGTCTGACCGCTGCCCACCTCAGCCTCGTTCTTCCATGTTTTTTTAAACCCAAGTCTGAGCTGGCCTTGTTTCCTCCCCGTGTCCAGCAGCCCGTGGCCACGCAGTCCCCGCACCTCTGAGCTCCCGGACGTCCCCGCGGGTTGGTTCTGGGGTGCCCTTTGCCCTCCCTCCCTGGGCTTTCCAGACCTCGCCCCATCCCTGCCTCTCCTGAGGCGTCTTCCTGACACGACCACTCGGAATTCCTCACTCTTCCTCTGTGGCCAGTGTTCCCTCCAGAGCGTGTGCTCCCGGGTGGGGGTGGGGGTGGGCGTGGGCCAAGCCCCGCCGCCCGCGTGGACTCCGTTCCCAGGACCCCGCACAGGCGCCTGGTCCATGCTCGTGAATGAGAACGAACACGTTGCTGTTGGGGAGGGCTTTTTATTTTTTTACATAATTAACACCTCCGGATGAAATGGTGCTAACATTATTTTTTAAGTTTCCTGCTGACTTGATTAAGATGTTTTTATACTATAAATCCACGCACTTATTCCTTCTGTGGCATATGTTACTTTTATATGACAAAAGGGGCCTATCACTGTTGTTTCTTAGTGAAATTATTTATCCAAATTATCATTAATGAGTTCATTAATAGTAATGTATCTAAAGTAATGCGACTGCAGGTGTGATAGGTGCATGCCGTACAAGTCAGCTGTACATAGCGCGCTTGCGTTTTTATAGGCGTCTTGCCGTTACCACGACTGCGTCGATGTGGCAGCAGAGCGAGTGGTGACCAGAAGTCCCTCCCACACCGCCCGCCTGAGGTTGTCCCCTCTCACACGAGTCTCTGTCCCCCCAATTCCTTCTATTGCGGTAAAATCCACACAACGGGGAGCTCACCTTCTCGGCCGCCCTTCAGTGCAGAGCTCGGTGTCAAGTGCATCCACACGACTGTGCAGCGACGCCGTCATCCGTCACAGAACGTTTTTATCTTGTAAACGGAAACTGCTCCCATTAAACCCAAACTCCCCATCTGCCCCCCTCCCCGCCCCCGGCAGCCGCCGTTCTACTTCCTGTGGATGGATGTGACTCCTCTGAGTACCTCATACACGTGGAACCCACAGTCTTTGTCTTTTTGTGACCGGCCCCTTCCATGCTGTAGCGTGTGCCAGAACTCCCTTCCTGTTCCAGGCTGAATACTCTCCGTGGTGGATCTACCACGTTTTACTTATTCATCCCTCCATCTATGGACGACGGGCCGCCTCCATGATTAGCTATTGAGAATAACGCGCTGTGAACAAGGGAGTGCAGGTGCCCTGGGAGACTGTTTTCAGTTCCTTTGGGAATCAATTTTTCGAGGAACCGCCCTCCTGTTTCCCAGGGCGGCCATCCCAGCTCCCCTGGTTTCCAGTCTGCGGAGGCAGCGCCCTGACCGAGGCGAGGGCAGGCTCTACACCGGGCAGGTCTGGGCCTGAATGGGGCTGTGCCGTGTGGGCAAGGCTTTCAGCCTCTCCGGGCTTGTTCCCATCTGCAGAACGGGGTGCCAATGACCACCTTCGGGGCTGGAATTGTCCCCCATCTGTAGAACGGGGGTGCCAATGACCACCTCCAGGGGTGGCAGAGTCCAGGGGATGCTGGTGAGGGGAGCACAGCGAGCACAGTGTGGCTGGGCAGGAAGCGGCGTCTGTGCTTTTGAACTTAAGACCTCCATGTGCTCTTGCTCCTCTCATTGCGTCCTACTTGGGTAGTGTTCTCTTTTTAAAAAACTTAAAAAAAATTGATCTTTAGAGAGAAGGGAAGTGAGAGGGGTAGAGAAACATCATCAGCTGCCTCCTGCCCGCCCCCCACTGGGATGAGCCCGCCCCCCACTGGGATGAGCCCGCCCCCCACTGGGATGAGCCCGCCCCCCACTGGGATGAGCCCGCACCCGGGCATGTGCCTGACGGGAATCGAACCAGTGACCTCCTGGTTCATGGGCAATGCTCGGTTCTCAGACACTTCAATCCGCCCAACACTCTGCCCACAAGTCACCTTCCTTAGATCCCTGCTCCCTGGGGTATCACTCTCCTGCTCAAAATGTCAGCTCAGTTCCCGACAGGCTGGGGCAAGCCCCTCTCCAGGCATTAGGAGCCCTGAGCAGCCCCCCCCCCACCCCACCCATGCCACCACTCCTGCCCCCACGGCACCCCTGTGTCCCCAAGGCCCGCGGCAGCCCCGTGCTGGGCCTCCTCCAGGGGGGCCCCGGTGTGAGCGGGAAGGGGCTGGACACAGGCTGCTTCTCCCCAGGCTCCCGGGGGCGGGCAGGCCGGGCGGCGAGGAGCATGCCGGCGTCTCCAGCACCTAACACGCTGTCCCCTCGGTTCATAGGGACGTTCGTCTCGGCCTTCGCCGTGCTGTGCGGGGCCCGCACCGACCTCCCCGACAGGCACGTGTGCTGCGTCTTCTGGCTGAACATCGCGGCCGCCCTCATCCAGATCCTCACGGCCATCGTCATGGTGGGCTGGATCATGAGCATCTTCTGGGGCATGGACATGGTCATCCTGGCCAGTGAGTAGCCACGGGCCAGCCCCTCATGGGCGGGGCTGGTTGAGGGGGCGTGGCCGGAGGAGCAGCCATAGGCCATGCCTCCTTGTGAGCGGGGGCGGGGCTGGATAGGATGAGGGGGCGGGGCTGGAGGAGGAGCAGCCATGGGCCACGCCTCATTGTGGGCGGAGCTGGACCGGGTGATGGAGCGGGGCTGGAGGAGGAGCAGGCTGACTGGGGTCTGGGTGTCTGTGACCCTCAGGGCTGGGCGCGTGGCCGGGATATCTGCTGAGCCTGCTCCTTCCCCGAGGGCTCACCTGTGTCCTCCTCACGGGTGTCCGTGTCCGTGCCTCCTGCCTCCCTGCACGCCCAGCCCCACGCCTGCAGGGACTCCTAGGCGCGGACAGGCAGAGACCAAGCCAGGGAGCTCGGGTCCCTGTGCCTCCTGCCCTGCGCCTGCGTCATGCACTTTCCAGAGAGAAGGGAAAGGCCACGTGGTGCATTTGCCCGCGGACACCCTGTGACTGCGTTTTACAGCCAGAGCAGCACAATGTCTCCTTTAAACTAAGCTCCTTGTCGCTTGATTCGAAAGCCTTCCTTCCTCACTGGGATTGCGTGGCCCTTCACCAGCCATTCCACACCAAGGCTGTACCCAGGAACCATGGGGCCTGGGGCTCAGCGATAACCCAGAGCCCCCTCGCCTCGCCCTAGATGAGGACATAGAAGCCCCGAAGTACAGGCGGGGACCTGTCGCTGCCTCACTTCCCATCACCTCAGGCTGTTGACTCAGCCAGAGCCCCGTCTGCTCTGGCGGGTGTGGGGCCATAACTGGGCTGCAGGGTCATCAAATGCAGAACCTCACCCCCACCCTTCCTACTGCTCCCAACCCGAGCCTCCCCTGGGGTCAGAGCCAGCCCCCTGGATGTCTGTACGCTCTTCCCCGGGTGCTGTCTTCATGTCAGACGTTTCAGAGCACTGTTTGGGGATGGACTGGGGGCTGCACCAGAAAACCCGCCAGACTTCGCTGCTACCCACTTTCGCGCCCTCGCCCCAGACGTGCTCACCCACCTCAGCACAAGGTGTCCTTGCACTGTCCCCCAAAATAAACCCACCTCAAAGGATGAACAGTTGCCACTCTTGAGATGGTGCCATGGGCCTGGATGGCCCCAAGCAGCAACGCAGTGTGTCCCAGGATGACGAGTTTGAAGGGAATAACCACACCTGACTTCACTCCTGGCTGGGCAGAGGCTGCCCTTTCTGATCCCTCCAGCCCCTTCGAGAAAAATGAAGAAAACTTTTCAGTTGTAACCATACAGGAAGATCTTTCTCATAGCATAGCATAGCATAGCATAGCATAGCATAGCATAGCATACCATACCATACCATAAAACAACAACAACAAAAAAAAAACTCCTAAGAGGGGAATCAGAGAAATACAGATCAAAGTAGAAGTTAAAATGAGGAACTTACAAGCACACTAGAGGCCCTATGCACGAAATTCGTGCGGGGGGGGGGGTTCCCCCTCAGCTCAGCATGCACTCTCTCCAATCCGGGTCCCCTCAGGGGATGTCCAGCTGTCGGTTTAGGCCGTTGGACATCCCTCTCACAATCCTGGACCGCTGGGTCTTAATCGCTCACCTGCCTGCCTGCCTGGTCACCCCTAACTACCCCCCCCCCTTGCTGGCCTGATTGCCCCTCACTGCCTCTGCATGTTGGCCTGATCACCCCTAATTGCCTCCCCTGCTGGCCTGGTTGCCCCTAACTGTCCCCCGCTGCCAGCCAGGTCACCCCTAATTGCCCCCTCCCTGCTGGCCTGGTCGCTTCTAACTGCCTCCCACCCGCCTGGTCACCCCTTACTGCCTCCCCCTGCCAGCCTAGTTGCCCCCAACTGCCCCCCTCTGCTGGCCTGGAAGCCCCCAACTGCCCCCCACCAGCCTAGTTGCCCCTCACTGCCCCCCCCCCCCCGCCAGCCTAATAACCCCCAACTGCCCCCCCTGCCAGCCTAGTCACTCCCAACTGCCTCCCCTGCTGGCCTGGTCACTCCCAACTGCCCTCCCCCCCCCCCCCCACTGGCCTGGTCGCCCCACGCAGCCTGCTTGTTCAGCCGTTTGGTTGTCCCTTGCTAAACCCCCTGCCGGCCTGGTCATAGGTAGCCATCTTGTGAGGGCATGAGGGTTAATTTACATATTACCTCTTTATTACATAGAATATATATTTGATTTCAGAGAGGAATGGAGAAGTAGAGAGAAACGGAAACATCAATGATGAGAGAGAATCATTGATTGGCTGCCTCCTGTATGCCCCACACTGGGGATCGAGCCTGCAACCCAGGCATGTGCTCTTGACCAGAATCGAATTGAACCTGGGACCTTTCAGTCTGCAGACCAACACTCTATTCACTGAGCCAAGCCAGCTGGGACTCTACTCTATATTAACAATAAACAAATAACAGGGAACAACAAATGGTCTTGGTCATGGGTCAATAACTACTTGGTAATTTTACAGTCACTTCTTTCTACTGCCTTGCCCATGGCAGACATTACCAATCAATTGCTACACTTTCTGCTGAACAATCTCACGATGGGGGCTTCAGGCAGTCACTGCCATTGATCCAAGACGTTTGCAAGATAAAACCTGCTTGCCTTCCGGGCATTAGATTTTATGTGTGGCTCCTGTTTATACAAGGGTGACCCACAGGGCTCAGACGCAGCCGAGCCCGGCCAGACGTGGCACTTCAGTACCTTTGGATTCTTGTGGTCAGACCTGTTCTGCAGCTGACCCTGCTCAGGTCCATCCAGGATTCACCTCCAGACAGACAGGTGTTGGGGTACAAGAGAGTGAGGGGCAGGAGGCGAGCAGCAGAGGGGGCGTGGCTGAGCTGTGGAGGGAAGGAGGGGCCTGGAGAGGGCTTCTTGGCAGTGCCTCACGGGGCAGGACTCCTGGGGAGGAGGAGCCCTCGGGTGCCCACAGCCTAAAGGGGCCACCAGGGGCTGCATGGCTGGCCACTGGCCACCGTGAGCCCACCCCGCTCCATCACCCGGGCCTGAGCATCCTCCCCGTTTTGTATTTCAGCAGCCCCTCTGCCCTCTGTTTTCAGACTCCTTTCTCTTTTTCTTTTCCTTTCCTTCCTCATGCTGCCTCACATCCTGTGTTCTCCAAGTTTCCCAAGGTGAGTCTGTTGGTGGGTGCCAGCCTCGGGCCTGGGCTGCCTCCCCTCCACCCCTCCACCCCAGATGCCCCATTCGTCCCCTCTTTCAGCTGGTCAACTGGCTTCTATTTTTAGCTTTTTATTTTGGAAAATGTTGAAACATAAACAAACATAAAGGCCGAGTCCAGTGAGTGCCTGAGGCCCAACAACTGTCAGCTCAAGGCTGCTCTTGTTTCATCAGTTACTCCCTGCATCGCCCCCACCCCCAGCCCTGGATTTCTCAGCACCCAAAATAGATGAATAAATGGATAAATAAAGAGGAAAAAAAGTTAAGCCCACCAAAGGTCCTCTTTGGGCCGAGTCACCAGCTAATAGGGGGTAACCACTCAAAATTCAAGACCCACAATTTTATCCTTAAATATTTTAGTAGGTATCCTTTTTTAAAAAACACAACCACAGTGCCCTTTTATACCCAAATAAACAAGCAGCAAATCTCTAATATCGATGTGGTGAGTGTTCCCGTGGCCTCACAATTATCACCAAATGTTCTAAAGGCTCCAAACCCTCAGTCACCTTTGCCTGTGCCCCCAGCGTCCAGCTGAAGACACGCATGCTCACTCCCTCCTGTGTGCTGCCTTCCTTCCTCCTTCCATCCACACGTACCAGGCGCCCATCACTTGGGGGAGCCTGTCTGGCACCTTTTCCCGGGCACCTTCACGCCAGGCCAGCCTGGGGGGGCCGCTTGTGTGCAGGGCTGTGGGCTCAGGGGGCGTGGATCACCTCCCAGCGCTCCCCCCCCCAGGTCCCTCCTCCCATGTCCCCAGGAAACCCCACGCTCCACCGTTTCCATTCACCCCTTGGATTCCCATGAAACAGCCAACGCCCTTGGGGACGGTTGGACCCTGTGGGCCGTTGACAAAGGTCTCAGGAGCCGCTCCTCGTCTGGGCGGCTCCGGGAGAAATCCTGAAGCAGGTGGGTGCCTCACCCTCTCCTCTGCTTCTTCCTCGCAGGCTACAAGGAGCAGGGCATCCCTCAGCAGCTGTGAGCCCGGAACCCCGAGAGTCCGGGGGGTCCCGTGCGGGCGCCCGGCAGCACCAGGACCTCCCAGGCTGTCTCTGCTGTTTCCTGGTTTGGAGGAAAGGGAGGATTTAAAGCGATTATTTATTTTGGAAACACATCTGCTCTTCTCCGCAGCTCTGAGGGCGGCCAGCCCCTCCCCGCTCCGAAAGCCCTGTCTGCGCGGCACCCAGAGCCCCCCCCATCCCCGGGGTGGGGGTGGGGTAGAGACAGGGATGCGGACAGAGGCTGGAATGTGCCCCCACACCCACCCCCTCTCCTCGCCCACGGCCAGGGCACACCGCCAGGCCGCAAGGCCCGTCCAGGCAGCAGCGGCTCCCACGGGCAGGACTGTGGTGGACGCTGCCTCTGGGCCCCCAGCGCATGTGAGTGGCCTCCTGGGAGCGGCACCAGGCGGAGAGAGAAGGGACGGGCTCCAGCGGAGTGGACAGGCTGCGGTGCCCTCAGCTTTGGTGGCAGGGGACACACGGATCCCCCCGGTGTGACTGGCCCTGCCCTCCCGCTCGCACCCCAGCTCTTCGCCACGGGAACCTGCGGGCCTGCGTGTGTTGTGACCTGTTTCCCTGAGAAGGAGGCAGGGGCCCCGCGCCTGGGCAAACTGTGGGGTCAGACGGTCACCCACGGAATTGCCACCCGGGTCTCCATGCGCACAGCCCAGCGCCTTCCCCATTTCACTTAACACCGTTCCTGGCCCCAGTCCTTCTGAGATCACTGCAGTGGTTGGGTCTCTGATTCAGGAATGTTGGGTCTGAGGGGAGCAGGAGGCGTGTAACCTACATGTGCTAACAGCCCACGGCCTGGAACAGCTCTCCTCCATCACACACGTGACACGGTGCCTCTGGGGCCAAGAGCCGATGGGCCCTGGGGGGCCTTGCGATGTAGCAGATCCCACGGGAGGCAGGGACCGCGGAAGTTGCCAGGCGCCTGGGGTCACGGATCCGCTGAAAGGAGGAGGAAGACCTCCGCGATGCTAGTGAGGAGGCGGACACTCACGTGTCTGTGTTCACTGTCCGTCTAACACAGGAATCGCTCAACTGCGCCCTGGCCCCAGCCGGCTGCCAGCCCACTGGCCTCTGTGCCCCTGGGGTGTCCCTGGGTGGGGGGGGTGCTTTTCCTGTCGTTTGGGGCTCAGCCAGAGTCCGGCCAGAACCGGAGCAGTGACCTGTCTGGATGGGATGCTGGGGCCACAGCCGGTTAGGCCCCTGGCTTCTTCGTGAGCCCCTTTGGGGCCACTGTTTGCATAGTCTCTGCTCTTAACCCCCCACCTGGGGCAGTGGTCCCCCACCCCATCCCCTGGGCATCTCAGTTACAGTCCTGCTGGGAAGCGGCCTGGGGTCCCTGTGGCCGGACAGCTCCCTGGCATCCCCTCCAGCCACTCCTCCCTTCCCCTCCCCCCGCCCCCTCCCTTCCCCCCCAGTTCTCTGCTCCTGGCTTGATCTCTGCCCCCCTCCCACTGATCCTGTAGTTTTGAGGAGCACCTCGCCATGGCTGCCTGGGGCAGGGTTGCCTTCTGAACCCCTGGCCCCGTCTTTATCTCCTCCCTCCTGTCTCCTGACGCCAACCCAGGCCTCTTCGGGCTTCCATGTGCTTCTGTGCTTTTCCAGTGGGACCAGCGCGGGTTGATCAGAAAGGAGACCCTTTCGCATCCTCCAGGCCGAGCAGGGAGCTGCTGGCTGCCTGCGCTCAGGGCCTCCCCGGAATCAGATCAAACAGCCTCCGCTGGCGAAGTGACCACATGGCCCAGCGCCCTCCGCCCACAGCCCTCACCCCGTCTGCGGCTCCCCGGAGTGGTGACGGGTCTGGGGCGGGGGCACCCCCACAGGGGGGGCGGAGGAGCTCATTTTCCAGGCTGGGTTGGGGCTGAGGGTAGAGGAGGGACAGCTATTATGCTGCATGTTTAGTGACACAGTCCAGGCGCAGGTGGGGTTCTTTTGAGTGACAGGTGTCCCCACGAGTGCTGGGTGGAGTGACTAGCGCAGAGACGTCTCCAAACCTGAGGAGGCTTGAGGCTCAGGGAGAGCCCCTGTTTAGGTAACTGGAGGGTGGACCCCCAGGTCTTCTGAGCGGGGAGCTGTGAGGATGCCACGTGGGCGGATCTGCTCCAGGAGCGCCATCTGATCAGCCACGGACTCGGCCTCATTAGAGAAGGAGCGGTGGCCGCAGGCTGTCGGGGCCAGAGTTCAGGTGACACACCAGCCAGTGGACGGAGGGCTCTCGCCCGCCTGCTGGATGGACACACAGCCCTGGGCCGGCCGATGGCCCAGCACGCACAGGGCTCCCTCAGGTTGGCCTGTCAGCAGTCGGAGCCCCCAGGACACTCCCTGGCCTTGGGTGTTCGGGGGTCACCGGGGTGCAGAGAGCTCCATCGTAAGTGAGATACTCCTGGGACCTGGCTGTGTGACGCTGGTCAGAGGGGGCGTCCCTGGGCCGCGGGGGACCTGGTGCAGGAGTGAGCCCTGCCGGGGGACGGCCTGTGGGTGTGGACGGAGGCTGCTGGCAGGACCTTAACGGCAGGCTGGGGGCAGGGTCCCTGCGGAGGGGCCATCACTGACCACTGGGGCAGGGGAGGGGAGGTGGGAGGGGGTGATGAGGGCTCCTCGGGCCCCTGGGGCTGAGCCAGGAGCGTCCGACCTGAGAAGAGCCTGAGGGATGCTGGGCCCTGGGCTTCGGTGACTCCGGCCAGTGTTGTCACCGTCAGTGATGCCGGAAGAAAGCCCTGCCCAGGAAGCCGCTGGGGGTCGTTTCCGTGTGTGGTCCTCGCTGGGCGGTCGCAGGCCTTGTTCGCTGCTGTTGTTATCCCTCTTGCCCTTCTGTTTGGAGGGCTTTCCCCAGAGGGGCTGGCGGTGGAGGAGCGTTTGAAAATGTGTGTGTGTGTGTGTGTGTGTGTGTGTGTGCGTGCGCGCGATTGAGGTCAGAGAGGAAGGGAGAGGGAGGGAGAGAGAAACATCAACGGTGGGAGAGAATCACGGATCGGCTGCCTCCTGCACGCCCCCCGTGGGGATCAAGCCCACAACCCGGCATGTGCCCTGACCTCCTGGTTCATAGGTTGATGCTGGACCACTGAGCCAGGCCGCTTGGCTGGAGGAGCGCTGCTAAAGCAGGGTGGGGTACCGGCTGTGGGGGTGGGGTACCGGCTGTGGGGGTGTGGTCCCGGCGGTGGGGGTGGGGTCCCGGCGGTGGGGGTGTGGTCCCGGCTGTGGGGATGGGGTCCTGGTGGTGCGGGTGGGGTCCCGGCTGTGGAAGCTCCTGGTCAGATGCTCAGGAACCCGCCCTAAAGCCCATGAGACAGGAGGCCCCTGAGCACCCTCCCGCCTGGGTGTGAGTTCCTGCCTTGGTGCCCTTGGTCTCTCCCACGGCTCCGGCCTCAGTTTAGCCATCTGTAAATTGGGAACAAGGAGGGGCCTGGGCAGCCATTGTTTCCCCCATTTCTGTCAGGGTAGAGGGCTGGGAGGGGAGAGGAGGGCGGGGGACAAGGACAGGGACAGGGAGAGGGAGAGAGAGAGGGACAGGGAGAGGGGGAGGAGCAAGGATGGGATGGGGGAGGGGAGGGTCCTCTCCTGCACCGGCCGGGCCTCCTGGACTCAGGCTGGACCCTGCCTCTGGGACTCCTTCTGGTAAAACAGAAACACCGGCCCCAATTCCACTCTCCCCTCCTGATCCCGCCCACTTGGTCCCACTTGTACGAGTCTAAGTTTCTGGTACAAGTTGTCTCTCGCTTTGATTTAGCTGTGGAATCTGTCCCCAGCCCTCCCCCTCTCCTGCCTGGATTTGCCAAAATGCCAGCCACCCCAGCGGGCCCGGTATCCCCAGTAGCCCGACCGCACACCCACCCTTCAGTGGGCCGCAGCACAGACACGCACGCACTGCACACACACGCACACACGTACACTGCACACACGTGCACATGCACGCACTGCACACATGCACGCATGTGCACACACCGCACGTGCACACACGTACTGCATACATGCACGCACACAATGCGCACACAGCACACATGTGCGGGCATGTACCCTGCACACACATGCATGTGCGCGCACGCACGTGCACATACACTCGCACACGCACGCACTGTGCACACACGTGCACGCACATACTGCACACACACACACACACACACACACACACACACACGTGCTCACCCACAGCCCCTCTGCATGCTGGGAGACGGACAGGGCTGCTGGAGGTTCAGGTGGGGTTTCCTCTCCAAGGGGCCTCGTCTCGTCCAGCAGCCCCGCCTGCCAGCCTGGGCGGTGGCATCATGCCCTGTCAGCCCCCTGGGGCCCCGATGTGCCGTCTCCCCTCTCCAGCACCTGGTCGGGGCTCTCTCCTCCCCAGGCCAGGGCTCAGCCCCCTCCCCCCGCCGGGCTCACCCCCACGCACTGTGCACTGCGTGGCTCAGTGGGAGGCGAGGCTTCCAGAGGACGGGGCACAGGGGCCGCCTTCTGGGCTCGTCCCACCCTGCAGACAGCCTCTCCTCTGAGGCCTTTTCTGCTCCCCCAACGCCAGCCCCACCGTCTGCCCCTGTGTGGGGACCAGTGAGGAGAGGAGGAGGACGGTCACGGCCACCCCACATTCTGTGCTGGTGCCGGTCCGTGACCCGCAGGGAGAGGGGTGGTGGCTGTGACGGGCGGGCGCCCTGCCCACAGGCTAAGTCCACGCTGTTGTACACGGTGCCACCGTCCCTCCCTCTCTCTCTTTCTCTCTTTCTCTTCCTCCCCCCCTCCCTCCCTCCTTCTTCCTTCCCTCCCTCCCTCCTTCTTCCTCCCTCCCTCCCTCCCTCCCTCCTCCTTCTTCCTTCCTCCTCCCTCTTCCTTCCTTCCTCCCTCCCTCTTCCTTCCTTCCTCCCTCCCTCCCTCCCTCCCTCCCTCCCTTCTTCCTCCTCCCTCCCCTCCCTCCCTCCCCTCCTTCTTCCTTCCTCCTCCTTCTTCCTTCCTCCTCCCTCCCTCCCTCCTCCCTTCTCCTCCCTCCCTCCCTCCTCCCGCCTTCTCCTTCCTCCCTCCCCTTCCTTCTCCTCCCTCCCTCCCTCCTCCCTCCCTCCTCCCTCCCTCCTCCTTCTTCCCCTCCCTCCCTCCCTCCCTCCCTCCCTCCCTCCTCTTCCTCCCTCCCTCCCTCCTTCTTCGTCCTTCCTCCCTCCCTCCTCCCTCCTCCCTTCTTCCTCCCTCCCTCCCTCCCTCCTTCTTTCTTCCTTCCTCCCTCCCTCCTCCCTCCCTCTTCTCTCCCTCCCTCCCTCCTCCCTCCTTCTTCCTTCCTCCTCCTTCTTCCTTCCTCCCTCCCTCCCTCCCTCCCTCCCTTCTTCTCCCTCCTCCCTCCCTCCCTCCTTCTTCCTTCCTCCCTCCCTCCCTCCCTCCCTCCTTCTTCCTCCCTCCCTCCCTCCCTCCCTCCCTCCCTCCCTCCCTCCCTCCCTTCCTTCCTTCTTTCTTTCATTTCAAACACACACACACACACACACACACACACACAAGCCTGGCTCTGTGCACACACGGTGAGTGTTGTGTCGTGAGCTGCAGTGTTTTGACGCTGTGACTGGCTTTGTTTGGGCCTGTTTCCGTGACGTCAGTCGCTGTGCGTTTCTCTCGGTTTCTGACAACACGCGCTCGCCCACCGCCCAGGCTTCCTCCGCTCCCTCCCACCCGGACCCCTGGGAGCGGCCCCACCAGCTTCCGGGGGCCAGCCCCCAGGGGGTCCAGCCCCCCAGTGACCGGAGCCGTTTGGGTTCCAAGAGAGAAAGGAATCTGATGTCAGGGATGGAGGGAAGCTTCCGACGTGCCCTGGTCCCAGCCGCGCAGCCGGGCCGCCCACGCACAGCCTGGCTCCCCGGGGCCTCGGGACAGGCCCGCGACCGGCCCGGGGCTGGCGTCTCCGCGCGCCCAGTGCGGCTCCAGTTTCTTCAGCGCCGCCAGCTTTGACATCTGTAACTCGAGCACCATTACTGTACATGCAATGAAAATACCATGTAAGACGACAAAGCCTTTGTACAAATCTCCGTGTACATATTTATATACTCACACGCGTTCCTGTTATTAGTACGTAAAGCATGACACGTCTCGTAGTTCAAGTTCGTGGTTTTTTAAATCCTGGAAAACGGCTTTGGAAAGCTTTTCTCCCTTCCCCCCTTTTCTATGTAATAAACACCACGTGACCTTGGTGGCTTCTCCAACCTGCGTGCTCTCATGTTCATAAGCGAACGGATTGTGGACTGGCTCCCCAAGGCTCCTCCCTCTGTCGGCTGCGTTGGCTGTCGGCGGCCTTTCCGCCCCTTCCCCGGGGCAGCCTCGCCTTCCTCAGACCTTCTCACCCACACTCCTCTCCTCCCGGGAGGCTCTACAATTCCTCCTCCCAGGGCCATATCTTTGATAATCTGATCCCTTTGCAGCCAGAAATTTACACATTAAATTGGTCTCTAGGACCCAGCCTGGGTTTACCAAGAAGACGTGTGCAGGTGAAACTCATGGCCTTGTCTTGGTTGTGCGAGGGGTTGGTGAGGCAGACGCGGACGTACGCATGGCAAGGTCTCCCACATCAACAAGAAGCGAGGAGTGACTGGACTCGGAGCTAGAGGTTCAGCCACAACCAGGGACGGGCTGGCCTGGTGCTCCCTTGGCGGGAATCGGCAGGGCACAGTCCACGGCCCAGCCAACACCTTCAGCTTCTTCATTTAAAAATATTTTTGTTATTGAGTTCTCAGGTGAAGGGAGAGGGAGAGAGAGATAGAAACATCAACTATGAGAGAGAATCATTGATGGGCTGCCTCCTGCATGCCCCACACTGGGGATGGAGCCCGCAACCCGGGCCTGTGCCCTGATTGGGAATCCAACCATGACCCCTGAGCCACAGCGGCCGGGCCAGCCAACATCTGTAGAAACTGGGTGAAGACCTAGCAGCTCTCATACTCGTGGAGGAAGGGAACCAAGTCCATTAGAACAGATCAGAGTTCACAGCGCTCTCGCCAGACAGAGGCATCTCACAGGTGAAATCCAGTAACTGACTCTGATGGTCACATGGAAGGGTGCTCGCTGCTCCTCACACCCAGGGCGTCATCTGACACCGTGGCGGGTGGCGGGCAGCGGACAGCGCCTGATCGATGCATCAGAGCAGCGGGCACATCAGCTCCGGGCGCGCTAGGGGCGACTCTCACCCCAGGGAAAGGCCCTGCTCCTCACTGTGAGCCCCGGCCCAGCTCAAGTCCAGGGTCAGACAAAACCGTGCCCTTGTTGGTTCTTCTCACACCCTGTCTCAGTGCCAGGTCCTCCCCTGCTTCCCTGTGATTCTGGGGGCGCCTGCCAATCATAGCCCCCAGCCCCCCACCCAGGCCAATAGCAGGGCCCTCTCGCAGAGCCACCTGCAGGGCGGGGGCTTTGCTGAGAGCCTTCTAGCTGCAGCCTGGGGGCAGCTGCTTGCTCCCTGGCCCGAGGCTGCAGTGCAGAGGCCTGCGCTGCCCAGGACCAAAGTCCGCCTCTCGGAGACAGGAGGCTGCAGTGAGACACGACAGAGACAGCAGAGAGAGCCATGGAGCGAGAGTCACTCCCGTGGCCCCATGACCACA